ATGTTTAAGCATCTTATAGCTAATGCTTGTAAGACTACAAGCTTTTTTATTAGACGAGTTTCTAATAGTATTAAGTACTTTTTTACTATATCTGTTATAGGATTAATAAGAAAACTATACTAATTAAGATTAATATATAGTGGTGAGTCAATAGAAATCAAGCAAATCTTTATAATAAAGATTTTTAATAACTTTAAATAAAAATACTTTATAGAAACTTGACTAAATTTAATTAAAATTTTTTTAAATAATTTTTACTAATTTGTATAATTAATTTTAAAAAAATTTTATTAAATTAGAGTGTAGTGACTTAGTGAAGTTGGTAAGTTGTCACACCCTCAAGTGGCAGAACAAGAGTTTAAATCCTACTGGTGATGAAATTCGAATTTGTGAAAATATATCACGGTAAAACTATATAATATATCGATTAGGTTAGTATCTGTAACCTTGGTCTCACCAACTCATATTGGGAGGTTGTAGAACATAGTATAATATATAAGTTGCACAAATTTCAAATGAAGCAGCCAAATAAATCCAAGGGATCAGGAGATACAGAAGCCTACTTGGGAAGTTCTAAGTAGAAAGATAGCACAAATCTTTAACAACATTACAGAAAGGACTATTATCTGAGAAACCAGACACCGAAGACAAACTGAATGAGAACTAAGTGTTTGGCAAGCACTACACCAACCAGGCTGCCAGATAATCAGAGGAAAAGGATTTATTTAGAATATTAGAGATGCTTACTAGTTCCTTCCAGGCCATTTGGATTAGAAGTTTAGGGTACCAATAGTTGGCATTGAAGTAGCAAGAACAAGAAGTAGATAATGGTAGCAGAGATAAAAAGCTGCAAATACTTGATCATGACTTAGACATAAATTACTGAAAATCTAGGTGATATATATATAAAACATAAACCACTTTAGTAGATTTACTACAAAGATAAAGAACTCCCTATATAATATATGTTTGCTTTAAAATCCTAAAGGGCTTTCATAGCAATTTCTCTTCAAAGAGAATATTTTATAATACTAAGTTAATTAGAGTAATAATACTTTTATTAATATAATAAAGTCAGAGGTACTCACATAGTAGTTACTCTGATATTTGAACTGTAAAATTAAAAAATATATCAGACCTCTAAGTAGTTACCTTAATATTAAAAAAAAAAAAAATTTAATTAACATATAAAAATACATATAAATATATTTGAACTCAGACTAGCTTGCAGACTTCAGACCAGACCCAAACCAAATTTAAACTTGGCTAAAACGTCTAAATATAAAAGTTTAAGTCTGGTCTGAAAATCAGATCAGACTCAAACTAGACTAAAGTCTGGTTCGAGTTTGGTCTATAAAATTCTAGCTATAGTTTATCCAATATTTAGACAGATATTAATTTTTTTATAAAATAAACATTTTTATCAAGTTTAATTTAAAATTTTTGTTAAATTTAGCAAGTTGTGATATTGAGGTTAATATTTAAAAAAAAAAATGAAAATTATTATTAATTAGGATTATAGTTTAAATTAGTATTAGAATTGGAATTAAAGAATATATACAATATACACAAAATCAAGTGCTAAAAACTTTTAATTAGAATCTTAAAACTAGTTTACATAATATATTTTTGAGATATTTAAAATTTTAAGTTTCTAATTTTCGCTAATTTTTGTTACACAAGATCCTGTAATCTAATTGGCAATTATATTAATCTGTGATATAGCAATCTGTGATATTTAACAACATTTTAATTTAATAGTTATTAAAATATTTTTTAGTTTAAAGTTTTAAAAAATTTATTTAGAAACAAATTCCAAATCTCTATTATACTAAGGTAAAAAAAAATTATAATTACAGTACTTTGATTTCACATTACACCTGATTCTGTATTCTAACTGGTTTAATTTTTTAAACTATATTAACATTTTCAAATATTTTAATATTTCTAATTGTAAAAATTTTATTAATTAATTAGTTGCTAACTATAGTTGCAACTAATAATTATTGCAAATTAAAATAAAATTAGATTAAAATGAAATTGGTGACCTCTTTTGCTCACTTTTAAAGCTTATAAAACCTATATATACTCTTTTATTAATAATTTTAAATCTAAACTTGATCCCTAATTCTAAAAAAAACTTAAAAATGTTCTTTAAAAAATTTTAAATTTTCTTAAAAATTAGAAAAATTTCATTTTAAAGAATTATTTTACGATTAACCGATTTAGGCGGTTCCAATCCCCTACATCAAAAACTCACCCACGTGATTATTGGCAAATAACGATAACGATAACAGAACATAATTTAGTGTAACGTAAACGATCAGAAAAATTCAAAACAAATGTTGCTTTTGTCAAAAATCGCTTATTTCTCGAAAGTTTTGTATAGGAAACTAGTTGCCTTGAACGATTTTACTATATAATCGCCTAAACCCAAATCCTAATATAAGGACTTACCCAAACCCTAAACGAACTTAAAGAATTTTTTCGTTGGTCCTGGGGAAAGATTAATAAATTATCAATCGGAGTTAATCATAAATTATCAAATTATCAATCGGAGTTAATCTTTTGTCGATCAACCAATAAAATCAAATTTGCTCTATGCTAGTACGACCTCTATGTCATAGACGTAATGCCGTGGGTAGTCACTACCCTAAGAAATGTCTGCATCACTAATTTCAACCTCTGAACAAATAATTGGAGAAAACGAATGCATCTCGAATCTCGCTGCAATATTTGTGACTCGGTTTGATACGAAAAAAGGAAATATAGTTGAATGGCAATATCCTGAAGGCAAATAAATAGTAATTTTATACGAACTTATTGTAATGAAACACATTGACTTGTTTTGCGATTATAGATTTTGATCTTGATGGCATCGAGTTTCAATCAATTCCAAGTGGATTACATGCCGTAAGGCAGGATGTAATGTAATGTTTAATTATCGTTATATTTAACTTTAATTAAACATTAAAAAACATTAAACTAACTTTGTATGAATAACAGATATTTCTCTAGACCCCCATTTGTTGGGCTTAGTGTATTTCTAAATGAGTCCACGATGGATGAGTCACATGACCGAGGTGCGCATATGGCGGCAGTTGGGATTTTAGTGTCTCCAACTGTAGAAACAGGTCTTTGTGGCAGACCATGGAAACATCTCGGATTTTTGCAAGATGAGGTTGTGTAGGTGTCAGATAGTACAAGTGGTTTTGAATTGTGAATTATAAATAATTCATCTTATGTTCCTCAATACAGGCGGCATGTCCACTTCTCAAATGATTACTCTAGCCTTCGTCAATACTTCGATAAACATAGTATTCGGTCTGACTTTCTAGAAAATAACTTAGATTCTATAGAACCATGCAGTAATTCGACCACATCGCGACGACCACGTGCCTTAACAGCTTCAAGCAGCCGGGGTTTACCAACTGAAACGGGCACTAGCAGTTATCAAGCGCCAGTCTCGGTGAGCAATCAATAATAATTTATAAATTTAATCTTATTTTCATATATATTGTATGACGTGTACAAATTTTTTAAAGTCGACACATCCTGCTCATCATTTTCCGGATTTTGTCCGTTTGTGTGGTCCAACTATTTTTATACTATGGAAAGCGGCTCTGCTTAAAAAGCGAATTTTATTTTATTCTCCTCCACCGGTGGAGGACATTTGTTATTCTGGTGATTTTATAAATTGTATCTATTAAGTTATATGTATATATACATTCTAAACTTTCTTTTATCACCGAAATTGCAGTTTACGGAACATGTCTTCTTGCCAATATTCCATCAGCAGTCACCCGATCGTTAAAGAACAAAGTTGATAAAATTAAACCATTATTCAGTGTTGGCATTAACGATATTTCAATGATTCAGTCTGCAGAAAATGGATACGTTGCATGTATGTTGTTTGAATTTTTATTTTACCTTTTTTATTTGACCTTTTTTTTTGACCTTTTTTTTTTTTTTTAAAAAAAAAAACCCCTTATTTTATGTTTAACTTTTTTTTATTTCTGTTTTTTTTTTTTTTTTTTTTTTTTTTTTTTTTTTTTTTTTTTTTTTTTTTTTTTTTTTTTTTTTTTTTTTTTTTT